AAAAAAAAAAAAAGAAGGAGGATTGCAAGTTGAAAGCCAACCTCAGCAATAGAGAGGCCCTAAGTAATTTAGTAAAACCCTATATCAAAATAAAAAATAAAAGGGCTGGGGGTGTGGTGGAGTGGTTAAGTTCCCCTGGATTAAATTTTCACTACAATAAATAAAAAAACAAAACTTTCAAACTTTAAACTCACTTTATGAAGCTAGACTCATCCTGATCCCAAAACCAGACAAAGACACATCAAAGAAAGAAAAATTCAGCCTAATACCCTGCTAGAAATAGATGCAAGAAGTCTTAATAAAATACTGGCAAATTGCATACAAAAGTATGTTAAAAAATAGTGCACCAAGAGCAATTGGAGTTCATTCCAGGGATGCAAGGTTGGCTGAACATAGGGAAATCAATACATGTGCCTCAACACATCCCTAGAATTAAAGTCAGGAATCACATGATTAAATAGATACAGAAAAACAATTTGACAAAAGGCAGCATGAATTCATCCTTGAAACACTAGAAAAACTAGGGATAATAGGAATAATGCCAATGAAATGATTCTATATTTAGTAGACTCAAAAAATTCTACCAGAAAGCTTCTAGAATTCATAAATAAATTCAGCAAAGTAGCAGGATATAAAATCAACACCCATAAATTAATTACATGTCTATATACTAGTGATGAATCAGCTGAAAGAGAAATTAGGAAAACCACTGCATTCACTGTAGCCTTAAAAAACAAACAAAACAAAACAAAACAAAACCCTTGAGAATCAATCTAACAAAAGAAAGACCTCTGCAATGAAAACTACAGAACACTTAAAATAAAATTGAAGAAGATGTTAGAGGGTGAAAAGATCTCCCATGTTTGTAGATAGGCAGAATTAATATTGTCAAAATGGCAATACCAGCAAAAGTACTATACATATTGAATGCAATTCTCATTAAAATTTCAGTGATGTTCTTCATAGAAATGGAAAAAGCAGTCATGAAATTTATTTTGAAAAACATGAGTCCTAGAATAGTCAAATCAATCCTTAGTGAGAAAAGTGAAATAGGAGGCATCATAATACTTAAATCATACTGTAGGGATTTAGTAACAAAAACTGCATGGTATTGGTACCAAAACAGACATGAAGATTAATGGTACATAATAGAAGACAGAGACAAAACCATATATGTACAGTTATCTCATACTAGACAAAGGAGCCATAAACATACTTTGGAGAGAAGATGGAACTGGAGACTATACTGCTAAGTGAAATAAGCCAATCCCCCCAAACCATACTTTTTGGTGCTAGGAAAACTGGAAATCTATATGTAGCAAAATGAAATTAAACCCCTATCTCTCAGCCTGAACAAAATTCAACTCAAATTGGATCAAGGACTGGGCATTAGAACAGAGAACCTACACCTAATAGAAGAAATTGTAGGCCCAATTCTCCATCATGTCAGCTTAGGAATTAACTTCCTCAATAAGACATCAAAAGCCCAAGAAGTAAAATCAAGAATCAACAAATGGCATGAAATAAAATTAAAAAGTATCTTCACAGCAAAGGAAACAATCAAGAATGTGAAGAGAGAGCCTAGAGAATAGAAGACAATCTTTGTCACCTGTACTTCAGATAGAACATTAATCTCCAGGATATACAAAACACTCAAAAAACTTAACACCAAAACAAACAAAGAAAAAAAAAACAACAAATAACCAATAAATGGGTGAAGAAACTTAACAGGCACTCCACAGAAGGAGAAATATAACTGGTCAACAAATATTTAAAACGATATTCAACATTTTTAGCAATTAGAGAAATACAAACAAAAACTTCACTGAGATTTCATCTCACTCCAATCAGAATGGCAATTATCAAAAATACAAGCAACAATAAATTTTGGTAAACATGGGGGAAATGGTACACTCATACATTCCTGGTTGGACTGAAAATTGGTGCAACCACAATGGAAAACAGTATGGAGATTCCTCAGAAAACTTGGAAGAGACCCACCATTCAACTCAGCTTCATTTGAGGAATATGTACTACTGGGTATATACCCCAAAGATTTAAAGTCAGCAAACTACAGTTCTGTAGCCACATCAATGTTTCTAGCAGCTCAATTCATGAGAGCTAAGCAATGGAACTATAACCTAGGAACTCGAACTCTTCCACAGATGAATGGATTAAAGACAATGTGATATTGATACACACACACACACACACACACACACACACACACACAATGGTATGTTTCTCAGCCAAAAAGAAAAATGAAATTATGCATTTGCTATTAAATGGATGAAATTAGAGATTATCATGCTAAGTAAAATAAGCCAGCCTTCCAAAACCAAAGGCTAAATATTCTCTTTGATATGTGAGTGCTAACACACATTAAAGAGTGGGCATGAATAGAATTTTATGGATTACAGAAAGGGCTGGGAAGGGATGGGGGACGGCATGGGAATAGGAGATACAATAGAATGAATCATACATAATTTTCCTATGTTCACATATGAATACAGAACCAGTGAAACTTCACCTTGTGTACAACCACAAAAATGGGGTCCTAATTAGAATGTTATACTCCGTGTATGTATAATATATCAAAATATACTCTACTGTCATGTTTATGTATAAAAAGCAAATTAAAAAGCAAAGCAGCTATTAAATAGACCTTTTATAGGAAGCCAGAAAAAAAAGGAATAAAATCTTTAATGGTACAAGAAAAATTATGAGTTAGACTTATGGTCCATGAAATTTCTTTTTTTCAAGAGTAAGAGAAGTACAAATATTCTCACCGAAAAACTAAAAAATGCTCACAAAAGATAATTCTAAAGAACATACTTCTATGAGATATATCAGGTGGAAGTTCTGATAAAAAGAAAATGGGGAAAAAACTGGTAAATATATGAGTCAAAATAATATAACTAACATTATACAATAAGAATAATTTCTAACTCTTGGAATAATGAAGAAGACAGAGCAAAATATACATATAACATCAACACCAGAGTCTGGGGTACTCATGAGAATTAAATCAGTCTAATGTGCTTGCATTTTAGAAAAAAATATTAAAGATAGTAACATGTATGTATATTTCGACATGCATAAATTGCACACACCCTCTGGGAGATACTTTAATTGTGTTAGTTAAATCAGAATATTTCATTTTTGTCCTATGATCTTATTTATGTTTAATAAAAATAACAAGTTGTATCCTTTGTATTTGGAAATATCCAAGAAACATCCTCTAGAACTTATTGTAAAAATAGTACTGTTCAACAAAAACTATCACAAATGTTAAAACTAATGAGAAAATACTCTCAATTTAGGCTTTGATGGAGCTACTCGAAGACAATTTTATTTATGGAATATTTTTGATAGTGCATAAAACTTGTAGCTTCTCAGAAGGATACCACTGTGACACAAAATCTTACCTTAAGAAAGAAGCTGTCATAATCTGTCCTGTACAGAAACTGTTGATTATCTAGAAAAAGAGGAAGAACAATATTACAAAAGCATCCTATTGTTTCATTATTTATAAATGAAAAATGAACAATATTTTATATAAATTGCTGTTTCCTGTGTAATTGTATTATATGCACACTTTTATTATATTTTTCTAAATGGAAAGAAGAATATAGAATAAACAATTCAACAGTTCATTTGTACAGTACAGAACATTTCTTTGTATCAAGTTAAATTATGTACTAAAAGTAGTCAAATATTTGGATTATGTATTATGTAATAATATAAATATATTTAATATATTAATATTGATCTATCATACTTAGTATACATACTATAAATTAGTATTACCATTATTTTGTCTATTATAGTATATATTTTATAATATATTTTATAATATTCCACATAAGCACAGGATTATTTGCCCTAAAAAACAACTTCAGTCCATATTACTGAACTATACTTCACCTAAAAAGTACATAGGCTAGTTTGCTACACATTTATCCATGTTATTGATTTTTCCATCATATATAAAGGCTTACAACATTCAAGAGATTGTTCCTGCTACAATATTATAAATTCATTGCCTGGAACACAGTTTGCTATCGAATGTCTGCCAGAGTATGTTAACAAGGGTATTCAGAAGAAAATTGTGCAACTATAATATAGTGGATATGTAAAGAAAATTCTCCAAAGATAACATGCCTTTAAAGTCATGCACATTTTCCTTAAGCAAAGGTAGCTTAAGGAATGAATATGTTATTATTTTGCATTACTTTTACCCTGTATACTTAAAAGAACTAGTTATATTTCAAAAATTCAGTGCTACTCTGGGCTATTTAGGTGCCTCTGAGAAGGACCAATAATGTTGCTTTCTGGAGTTTGATGCTATGTAACCATTTATTCCTTTAGATAAGACTCAGTTGTGAAAATTCACTCACTGTTGAGGCATAGATTTCTCCAAATATCCTGACATCTCTATCAACATTTCTCATCTCTACATTGATGTGTTGTGGTCAGCCTCTATGGACAATGCACTTTTAATAATTTACATATTTTCCTCGATTCTTTTCTTTGATAGCTTCTTCAGAGAAAGCAAGAATAGTTGCAATTAGAGATTGGCGTTTCAAAATATTAGTATAATTTTGGCATTCTCATTTTAAATAAGCATATTTTTTTTTCTGGTATTACAGCTAACTTGTTACATCTCACAACAAAGGGAACAGGACCTTCAACCAGAGCCAATCATTGGTATGGGGCAGAAAAGAGTCAGAATTTAGAGGGGCAAACTATAAATCCAAAGAAATGTGGTCTGAAGAAAGCTATAGCAGCTGTAGATTGAATTCCAGGCAAGCATTGGTATGTGGCCACAGCCAGGTATTTGTCTTAAGAAGTTTGTGTTTTCGATCTTTGGCTAAAACACAAGATAATGGGAGGCACTAAAGATGGTTAACAGGTGATCAAGCTAGAAAACAGAATTGGTTCTGAAAATATTAAAGTATCCTCTCAGACCAGGTGAAGTCTACTAAAGGACATGTTTTCTGATTCCACTTACTAGTAAAATACATACTTCATGATACATTTTAAGAACTCTCAGTTTTACAATGATAGTTGAAAAGTTTTCTAAAAGGCTGATTAAGTAAAATGAAATCTGCTGATATCACCAAATGAAAACTTAATAGAAATAAAAATACTTGTATTCTTTAGCAAGATAAAAAACATTTTGATATAAAAAAATTTTTAACACTGTAGGTATAGAAAATCAGGAACTCTGGAGTAGTATATGTGGATAGCATTTTGCTGATAATTTTTTATACATACTGAGGGAAAATATCATGGGAGTGTACTATAGAAAAAATTATTATGAAACAAGATGTTCAATTAAGTAAAAGGTAATTAAGCAAAGACAATTTTCTCAGATTAAATTATATATTTTTGTTTTATAAGTATTTTAATATAAAATAAAATTATTGTTATAAGAATGCTTCATTAGGTAGAGAAATAGAATATGAATCAAAAAAGAATATTTACTTTTTCTAAATGTAATATTTAGCAATTTAGATGGACTTTACTATGTGATCTACAATTAAAATGGATATGATTTAATTGTTTCGGTTCATTTGGGGGTAATGGTCCCCTTTATGAAGTTTTATTATTTTAAAAAGTAGTAAAATACTTCTATTCTTTATCATCATTAAAAATAGATTGATTAAAAATTTGTTTTGACAAATAACCATATGTATTATGGATTTCAGTGTGATATGTTAAATCATGTATACAATGTATAAAGTTTAAATAAGGATAGTCAATATATTCATGGACTCAAACAGTTATCATTTTTTATATGTTGAAAACATTCCAAATTCTCTCCACTCTTTTTGAAATATACAGTTAAATGTTCCCAAGTGTATTTACCCTACGGCACTACAGAACATTAGACAGGTTAAATAAAATATTAAAATGTGTTGTATTTGAAGATGTTTAAAATTATTCTTTCTACTTAAATGTACCCTGTACCTTTAGCCATTCTCTCTCCATTACCATCCCTTCCCAATCTCTGATAAAAATTATTTTAATTGCAACATTTAGGACATTAACTTTTTGAACTTCCATATGTAAGTGTAAACATACTAAATTTCTGTGCCTGGCTTCTTTAACTCACGGTGTTGTATAGTTCTACAGAGTTACTGCAAATGAGAGAAGTATATTAATTTTTATGGCTCAACAGTATTCTACTGTGTATATATAGCATACTTTCTTTAAGAATTAATGCAACAAAAGAAATCTAGGTTGATTCCATATCTTGGCTCTTGTAAATATGCTGCAGAGAACATGGAAATGCAGATGTCTCTTCAACATTCTGATTTCCTTTCCTTTGAATAAACACCCAGTAATGGGTTTGCCAAATAATATTGTAGTTCTGTTTTTTCTTTTCCTACCCCTGTGTCAGGAGCAGCAAATAAATTATGGTTCTTGAGCTGTCCAGAGACAGAGGCAATATCTCTCTAGGGAACTCTCAGTGTGAAAGTATCAATTTGAGACTGCTCAGCAGCTGTGGTGATGCCCTGTTCAAAGAGAAATTCTGTGCCAGCCATGGACTTATCAGTTCTTTCCCTTGGGTTCAAACCCCAGGTACCCAGGGGTAGAGAATTATGAATACAAGCTGATAGTCGTAATTGGGCTTTTTATACCCTCAATTTGGGTTTTGTTTATCTTGAAGAAACTTTCTCATAATAAATCCTTTTGATGTTTAAACCTATATAATAAACATGCCAAGCTGGCTTGTGGTAAATATTTCCCTATCAAGGTTTAGGGATCCACCAGGCCTCGACTTTTTCTCTATTTGTGTATCTGTTTGTCTTTTCTCTATCCCCTCAATGCCTGGTCTGGGAACCTGAATTAACAGCCAGGACACAGCATTTCTCCCTAGCTCCCTTCTTTTCTTTTCTTCTGGCACCTTCATTGTGTTTTCCCTAATGGCTGAAGTAAGTTATATTCACACCAACAGTGTATTTCCCTGTCACTGTAGTCTCAACAGAATTTTGTCTTTTTTTTTTTTATACTAGTCATTCTAATTGGGTGAAATGATATCTCACTCTGCTTTTGATTTTCATTTCCCTCATATTTTAGTCAGATTTTTCATTGTTGTGACCAAAATACTTGAGAAGAAGCACATAGAAGAGGAAAAGTTTATTTAGGTTCAAAGTTTCAGAAATATCGATTTATAGATGCCCTACTTTATTGCACTGGGTTAGAGATGATACAAAATATGGCAAAGGGGTATAGCAGAGAAAAGCAGATTGGGACCTGGCAACAAGTAAGCAGAGAGAACTCCACTAAGCACAGACAAAATATAAACCCCAAAGGCCTGCCCTCCTGACCTACTTCCTCCAGCCACACCCTATCTGCCTATAGTTCTTTCCCATTTAATCCATATTAGTGGATTACTGCACTGTTTGGGTTAATGCCCTTATAACCTAATCATTTCATTTCTAAACTTTCTTGCATTGTTGCCTACATGAGCTTTTGGGAGACATCTCATATCTAAACCAAAATACCCTAATGATTAGTGATGTTTAGCATTTTTTTACTTTGCTGGTGCATTGTGTGTCTTCTTTTGAAAAATGTCTATTAAAATCATTTGCCCACTTTTAATTTTATTATTTGTTCTTTGTTTTTGAGTTTATTGAGTTTCTTATATATTCCGAAAATTAAGACCTTGCCAAATAAGTAGTTTTTAAAGTAATTTTTCCCATCATGTAGGTTGTCTCTTTACTCTGCTATTTCATTTGCTGTGCAGAAAAGTTTTAGTTTGATGCAATTCTGTTTGACAATACTTCTGCTAGCTGTCTGTGCTTCTGGATCATAACTCCATAAATATCTTTGCAGAGAGCAAAGATCTGAAGCATTTCTCTTATGTTTTCTTCTATTAGTTTCATGTAAGTTATTTTTAAACACATTTTCAGTTTATTTTAAAATTTAGTTTAATTTTAATTTTGTATGTGATAAAGTGGTGTCTAGTTTTATTCTTTTGTGTGTGTATGTGTGTGAGTATATATATGTGTGTGTGTGTGTGTGTGTATGTGAGATATATATATATGTGTGTGTGTGTGTTAGTATTATATCATATATATATATAATATAATATATATATATATATGATTTTAATTACTGATTCAATTTTGTCTCACATTATTGGTCTACTTATGTTTTCTATTTCTTCATGATTAAATCTTAGTAGGTTACACGTGCCCAAGACTTTATCCATTTCTTCTTGGTTTTCTAATTTGTTGACAAATAATTGTTCATAGTAGTCTCTAATGACCATTTGTATTTTTGTGGCATCAGTTGTCATGTGGTGATAAATTTTCACAATTCTTTATTATCTGAGAAAAATCTCATTTTTATTTATTTCTGAAGAATAACTTTTGTGATTATAATGTTCTTACTTGGCAGATTTTTTATCTTTCTTTCAGCACTCTGTACATATGAGTCCATTCTTACCTTGCCTGAAATATT